ATCCTCCATTGTATATATGTACCAAATGTTCTTTAATGGATAATAGAGACCATTATAAACTCTTGAACAAGAATGATCTAAGAGGCAGAGCTGCCTCAGATTGTCAAACTGCAGCGGGAAGGCCGGGGAAGGTTGGGGGGCCAGAGGGCGGGGGGTAAGAGATCAACCAGAGGACTTGTATGCATGCATATAAGCATAACCAATGGACATAAGACACTGGGGGATAGGGGAGGCTAGGGGACTTTCAAGGGCGGGGGGAAAAAATTGACACATAGGTAATACCCTTTGTAATACTTTAAGCAATAAAAAATAAAGAAAGTCAAAGAGGTAGAAGAAATGAGCTGTAGAAGAAATTGACTCAGGGAACAAATTATTGAGGCAAAAGAAAGGCCTTTGGAACTTAGGAGAAAGAAAGAGACAAGGAGAACGTGCCTGTGGGGAGGGGGAAGAAATGCACTGGTGTGTGCGATAGAGAGAACCAAAAAAACTTTGAAGACAAAGTCTTTACTTTTGAGAGGATAAAATGATTACTAATTTTGGTAGAGCACAGCTTCATGGTGAAAAACACAATGTTCTCACTAAATTAAGAAGCCTATAAAGCAAAAAGGTATTCAGAATAGGTCACAAAATTCATAATTGTATCCAAACAAGGAGTAATAGTCTACCCATTGAAATGAAAGCTGTAAATATTTTAAAGCATTTTTAAAAGATAGAATGAGTGAACTATAAAATGTTTGTTATGAAGGTGCTATTAAAACCTAAAACTTCCACAAGGAATGTGGCCCTGCCAACACCTTGAGTTTAGCCCAGTGATGATTTTGAACTTCTGACCACCATTACTGTGTAAGATAATGTTTGTGTTGTTTTAAGCCATTAATTTTGTGTTACCTGGTTACAGTAGCAATAGCAATTCATTCATTCAGCTCTGATTATAGTCATCCACCTGTCATACCAAACCCTCTCAAGCCTTTGCCTAATTACAGTGGTTCTCAACCTTGGCTGCACATTTGAATCACCTGGGAATCTTTTTAAAATCCTGATTTCTGGGCCTCATCCTCCGGAAATTCTGTTACTTTGTTACTAATGTTGTGGCCCCACCCCATAACAAAGAAACAGAATTTCCAGAGGATGAGGCCCAGAAATCAGCATTTTAAAAAGATTCCCAGGTGATTCTAATGTGCAGCCAAGGTTGAGAACCACTGTGTTAGGAGGCACTGGAAAGTGGAAGAGCCTAGTGTAGGTAAAGATTTCAAGGGGAAGTGATGGGTCTAATTACTCTTTTTTTCTTCTTCTTTTTCTTTTTATCTTGGATTGGGAGGATAGAGATGTTGTGATATTTTTTCTCTTTTTCTTTTTAAACATGTTTTTATTGATTTTTAGAGAAAGAGGAAGGGAGAGGAATAGAGAGATAGAAACATTGATGAGAGAAACATCATTGATCAGCTGCCTCCTACACGCCCCCCACTGGGGATTGAGCACGAAACTTGGGCATGTGCCCTGACCCGAAATCGAACTGGGGACCTCGGTTCTTGGTGAATGCTCAGCCTGAGCCACACCGGCCAGGTGGGTCTAATTACTCTTGCAAAACAAGGTTGGATCTAGGCAGATGGATGGAAGAGTTGTTCTAGGGCTAGGCCAGTGGTTCTAGTTGAGAACCACTGTCCTAACATGTCTCCTTGTCAGCACTTATCACACTTGAGTTGCAATCACTGATAATTGTATTCCTGTTTGCACCACTTTGCCAATTTCTTGCTTATTAAGTGGCTTTGGTACTAGTTCCCTAGTTATTTACTAGGTCTCTCCAACAATATAGTAAGCTTGCAGAGAGCAGGGCCTGTTCCTCTGTGTATGTATGCACACACAGGTGTGTCTTCTCTACATATGTTTAGTACACAGTGTTCCAACTCCCCCCTTAAAAAACCACAGCAGCAAATAAATGCTCATTGGAAAAATGAGCCAGTGTACAGGCACACCTCATTTTATCGAATTTCACTTTATTGTGCTTTACAGATATATTTTTTTACAAATTGAAGGCAAGATCCTCCACCAACAAAAAGATTATAATTTACTTTTTTGTGGTGGTCTGGGATTGAACCTGCAATATCTCTGAGGTATGTGTCTACTTTGTAACAAATTATTTCTTAGTAAGTAAGCAAAAGGAAAAATATCCACGGTAATATTTTATTATAATGCATTTTATTATACTATTTACTAACTTGCTATAAGAAATTAAGCTCATTTATTCAGTCAATTTTCTCCTTGAGGAGGAACTGTCAATAGTACATTTTTCTAGTCAAAATTTTCTGCTTTTCATATTATAGCATTTTGCTTTGACCACCAGATGCAGGACCCCTCACAACCAAAACTTATTTATTCATTTGACATATATTGATTGGGTGTCTACTATGTGCAAGTGCTATTTGGGACATGGAGAAACAAATGAATAAATCAAAGCTTATATTCTGGAGGGGGGAGATATGCAAATAAATATTATCAAGCAAAACGCTATAAAGAAAACATGAAGTAACAGAATGGTAAAGAGATTGAGTTCTCTACCCTTGGAGTAGAAAACCAGTCTTTAATGAGGCAAACATAGTGGCCAACACGAGAGGAGGTGGTAGTGGTTAAGAACCAGGATTTTCAAGTTAAATGGAACAAGATTTAAATCCAGTTCCACAAGTTCCACCCCTAATTGTGTGCCTCTGGACAAATTACTTAACTTCCCTGAGCCAAGCTGGTTCCTCTGTTAAAAAAAAAAATAGGAACTTTCTCTCATAAGGTTCTTTTGAGAATTATATAAGATAATCCATACAAAATTCTTTACCTGGTGCCAGACACATAGCAAGTAATTAATACATAGCAGCTATTATTATGATATATTTTAAACAGTGATTAACATTTCTGAATAATTATTTAACCGGTTTCCTTATACAATATCATATGTTGTTTAAAAAAAATCATTCACTCTACAGATACAAATACTGAGAAATGTAGAGGATGCTGTTTTTCTCCACAGATCCCTCCTTCTGGATGAGGAACTCATTCCCCCAGCAGCTATCAGAGTTTGACTGCTGAAGGCTCACACTGGATACCCACTTTGGGAATTTTGCCCTCCACTGAATTGCCTCAGCTACAGTTACGCCCCCTTCCTGTCAAGCTGAAGAACCAAAAGCCTTGGATCTATTTTGAAGGCCCACCCAACTCCAGAGCCCTCTGAGGTGGCCTGAGGCCTCTGTGGAAACCTCTTCTGCTTTCCTCACTCCATCACAGAGGTTGTTCCCAACACCCCCAAATAAACTTGTTCACCAGTCTCCATCTCAGAGTTAGCTTCCCCCAGAGAAGCTGAATTAAGCAAAGCAAGCATTATATGGGCAAGGCACTGCTGTGGTGCAAACTTCTTCTGTAAAAGGACGATAGTGTTTTAGGGTTTTGGTGGGCCATCTGTTCTCTGTCACGTTTATTCAGCTCTGCCATCCTAGGGTGAAAGCAGCCATAGACAATACATAACTGAATGGGTGTGGTTGTATTCGAATACAGCCTTGTTTATGGGCACTGAATTTAAATATCACAATTTATTCATGTCACAAAATATTATTTTGATTGTTTTTTTCATTTTTTACATGGTTTAAAAATGTCTTAGCTCATGGGAGCTTAAAAATGATGTAACTAGATTTGCTGTGGTGATCATTTTGTAATATATACAAATCTTAAATCATGTTGTACACCTGAAGCTAATATAATGTTATGTGTCAATTATATCTAAAAAAACAAACAAACAAACAAAAAAAAAACAGGTGTCAGGCTAGAGTGGAACAATGACCATAGTTTGCCAATCCCTGGTCTAGAGGAAGGAGGTAGAGCAGGGCAGCACTCACAAAGCCACCATTCTGGTGCATGAATTTACAGAATTTGATATCATCAGACCCTAGACCTTGCAACCTTGTCTTTAGGATACAGAAGACCCCTTCCTGGCTCCAGAAGAGTCGAGAGAGCATGGAGAAAAGCAAGAGAAGAATATGAGAAAAAATAAGATTCCTAACTGTGTATCACCAAGAAAATCATACATAGCAAAATCAAAATAGTTTAATATTCACTATGTGATATTTTCCATTTAGGAAATTTCATCTCCACTAGAAAACAGAATTAGGAGATTTGAGTGGCTGTTGTGTGGTTATATCTAAGTAACCATTCCATTCGATGATAAAAACACAATTGCAATTTGTTACTGTTTTCATGTTTATAGAGAACATAATTTTAAGTGATCTACTGATACAGAATAGAAAAGAGAGAAAAACATATTTTGAAACTGTTTGAACCAGTCTCTCTACCCAAATATTGCAGCCTACTACAGTTTATTTCCCTCAAGAAACAACAACTTGGGGGACTTTATGAGTAACAAACATTCCTAACTCTTTACTCTGAAACTTTTGGCCTTTTGCTTTTGCCATGATGTGTGTTCTTCTTTGGCTTGTCTTCTTTTTCGATTTCTGTACTCCTTGAAATGAATCCTACCTTTGCTTTTTTTGATCATTTTTATTTTTTGCTTTGTTGCTATACAACCCTGGCTTTGAAAGCACTCTTTATTGCCCCTCTTCCCACATTCCTTCCTCATGTGTAATATTATGAGATTTCCTCTTAATTCACACCTGACCTTCAGCCAATGTTTACTTCTCTAACTCTTGACTCCTTCCCAAACCCCTCCTCCACATTCTCAGAATAACTGAATGAAGTGTTGTTTTAGCTGTGAGAGCTGACAAAGAGGAATGGAAACATCCTCTCCATTATGGATTCACATTGCTATACTGTGAAATATGGAGACTAGGAGTACTGATTTCAGTGGACACCAACTGTAATAGGCGGTTAATGACTATATCCCTGGCTTTTGAGGTCTCCAGATTCTTCTCTCTTGACACTTGGAGGCTAATTTGGTCCACACTTGTCATGATGAGTTCAGATGCCAGAATCTGGGTAGGGGAACTGTCATGAAACACGGTGTCCATAATGTACTGTTTATATAACTCCACCACCTTCTGTTCCAGATACTCATTCAGCACAGCATTAGAAATAGGCTTCTGCATTTGCAAGCTGTTTTTCTCCTTGATGCTGGTTATTCTCCAGTAGGATGAATGTCGCTGGATAGGTTTTTGGGGAAAGTCACTGGGCTGAGTAGAAATGGAATCCTCCATTGGCAAAGGAATCTCAGATGATTTCAGCAAAGGGCCGTATTCAAAACTACTCTCGCAGAGAAAATCTGTGGTCACTGAATTAACAGCCATCACCTGGCCCCCTGCAATATGTAAGTCATTGTAATTCTTGCAAATACTTTTGCAGGAAGGTGGAACCAAGAAGGTCTCTCTGCTGGGGTGTCTACATATTTCAACTGCGGCCACGTTTGGGCTTTCAAACACAGGATTGGGATTTGTCTGTAGCACTGTGATTCTGTGATTTCTACTGTGTTGACTCTCTCTTGAATGCACTGAAGAAATGAACTTGCTGGAGGATTTGCAGCTCAGGTAGAGACTTCCGACTTGTGTTTCATCCACAGAGGAATAGCAAAGAGCAGCAGAGTTAGTCTCTTCTTCCTTTTCCTCAGCCACGTTCTCATTATAAGACGCACAACTCCAGGGGATGTCATTCTGGTAGGCAAGTCCACTGAGGTACCCTTCTGACAGCATTCTGGAAAGAGAGTTGGTGAATAACAATGAGGAAAATGAAGACTGGATTTTTTAAAAATTGACAGTTGATGTATCAAAAAAGTAAAGGAAATAGTCATTCCATTCATTCACCAAGCCATCACTAATTTTGTGCCTGCTTTGTACCAAGACGATGGCACGTGCTGGAGATAGAAAGATAAATAGGACACAGTTCCATCCTTCAAGAAATTTCCACTATGAACCCCCGCAGCTTGGCTCAGTAGTTGGGGGTCAACCTATGAATCAGGTGGTCATGGTTTGATTCCTGGTCAGGGCACATGCCCAAGTTGGGGGCTCCATCTCTAGTGTGGGGTGTGTAGGAAGCAGCCAATCAATGATTCCCTCTCATCATTGATGTTTCTATCTCACTCTCTCTCCTTCTCCCTTCCTCTCTAAAATTAATAAAACTATATATAAAATGTATATGGGAAAAGATAAACTAGATGCAAACAATTCCAATATTATATCACAGAGGGTTCAAATCATGATAGGCACAAAGGAAGTGAAGAAGAAGAGCCCCTAACACCACCTGTGGATAAAGGAAAGGAGTTACAAATATGTCACAGAGAAGATGACATTTCATCTAAATTGTGAAGACTAAGAGTTCCAGCCATAAACACAGAGTTATAAGAGAATATGGTGTTGTGGCCTATTCACCATACACCAAGATGCTGAGCATAAGCAGAAGGGCCTGGGAAAATAGGCCAGAATTAGGTCATGAAGGGCCTTAGGAGTCAAGCAAAGGCACTTGCCTCCTGCCCCAGAGGAAATGGAGAGTGATTGAGAAGCTGCAAATTGAGAAAACAACATACCCAGTGGGTTATGAAAAAAACAACGAGGCAAATTCTACTGAAAATAGAGCAATATTTTACCCATCTTTGGATTTTATCCCTCAAAACTAGCACAGTTGTTTCCATTTCGGAGAGACTCAAAAGATATTTGTTAATTTGAATTAAATAACTGACAACAATGCATGGTATGAAATTAATTCACTCTCAACCCATCGTGAAGGACCAGGAAGCCTCACCAACCTTTGCAGCTCAGGACAAGTTCCTTGCTCTATCCCACGTACTTCTCACAATAAGTCCTGGAAATGTCTCTGCACTCAACTGACGTGTTTACCTCTACCCTAGTTACCAAAGAGATTTCCTGACCATGGGCTTTTGCTACAACCGCCTCCCCTCCCCACCCCCAGCAGTTGTCAGCTGAGTCTGGAGTGGCTAGAATAGGCTAGAAAGCAGCAGCTGCGTTTTCTAAAAAAGGAACACACTGACATTCTTGGCGCTGGGCAATAGACAACAAGGAAAACTGATCCTCTTTGTCCTTGAAAGCTAGGCTTCCGAAACAGACCTGTCAACATGAAGCTGAATTGAAAAGTCGAATTAGAAAAAGATTATTTTAACCATACACAAAGGTCCTTTTTTAAAATATTAGCATCTCTTTTATATTCATGCAGTTATTTCCCAAGTAATTTTAATTGTATAAAGTAAATATTACAAATATCTATAATAAATAAAAGCATAATATGCTAATTAGACTGGACGTCCTTCCGTCCTTCTGGACGAAGCTGGGGCTGCGAGGGAAGCCCTGGTCCCCAGTGCCTGCTGAAGGCCAGAGGAAAGCCAGTGCTGGCAGCCAGGGAAAGGAAGGCCTACTCTTGCACGAATTTCGCACATCGGACCTCTAGTTAAATCTATAAAAGGATGCCACGAACTCAGGAGCAGAGCAAACAGGTCAAGTGTGATCCACAAATCTGATGCTATGTCAGCAAAAAACTTTGGGCCTGATAAACACTTTTCCCCTCTTGCCCAGCTGGAGTGGCTCATTTGGTTGAGTGTAGTCCTGTGCACCAAAGGGTTGCTAGTTGAATTCCTAGTCACAGCACATGCCTCAGTTGCAAGTTCAGTCCCTGATTGGGGAACCTATGGAAGGCAACCTATCCATATTTCTCTCTCACATCAATGCATATCTCTCTCTCTCTCTCTCTCTCTCTCTCTCTCTCTCTGTCACTCCATCTCTTTCTCTAAGTTAAACGTGCTTTTTAAAATTGATTTTAGAGAGACAGAAACAGAAAGAGAGAGAGAGGGGGGAGAGAGAGAGAGAGAGAGAGTGAGAGAGAGAGAGAGAGAGAGAGAGGAGAGAGAGAGAGAAACATCAATGATGAGAGTCTTTAATAGGCTGCCTCCTGCACAGGGGCCAAGTGGAGGATGAGAAATTACCAGGGATGCCAGTGTGACTACATCATGACAACCAGAGATACCCCCCACTCCCATGTCCCCAACTGACCCTATGGCTCTGTGTAAGCAAGAAGGAACTTAGAGGCAAACCCAAGGAGGATGGAGCCCTGAAGTGACTGAGGCTAACCTGATTGACAGTGATTACTCAGGAGAATGTAAGCTGAGCTCAAAAACGAGATCAAATTGAGTTAGAGAAAAGCAATAAAATATATTTTAAAAAATTTTCATAAATGTCTAAGAATTGGTAGCACCATAAACCCATTCGAAGTAGGGTAAAGGGAATGTATCTAAAATAAGAAAGATGAATTGAGAGTCTATTGAAAAGGCAGTCAGAACCCCAGATCCTCTCTCTCATTCCAGGTAGCAGGGTGCCTATCTCCCATCTCCATTCCCAAGGGAAAACTTGGGATTTATTCTCTGAAAACGTAAGGTTTCTGGGCTATGAGATACCAGCTGAGGGTTGAATCACTGAACCAATAATAGATTCAACAAACATAGGCATTTAGATGCTGAGATCCATGACCTCTCTCCCTTTAGCTCTCAGGATGCTGGTGGAGGGGCATCCACCTTCGAGGCAGGATATTGTGAAGACTGTTCTGGGGAATCAGACTCGTCTGAGACCAATCGACATCAGAGGTTCCCATAACTAAATGGGGCAACCAGGTCACCCTTCATTCAAGTTCACAATCAATAGAGTCCATTTAGCTTTTTGTCTCCACAATCCTTAATATTCTCAAGGCAATAAGGATAATATTGCAATCTTGAATTATGAATAGGATGCTATTGGAAAACATTCTGAAGTTCTTGAAAATTAAAAATGTTATACAATTTTAAAACTCCATACAATGGTTGGAAGGTAAAGTTGAGGCAAACTCCCATTTTGAAAGTAGAGCAAAACTATAAGATGGAAAATAGTAGAGAAAGGTTGAAATTAGAAAAACAGTCCAGGAGATCTATTATCTGAAGAGTAGAAAGTTCAGAAAGAGGACAGAGTAAACAGAGGAGAAATTCAAATAATTCAACAATATTTCCCAGAACTGAAGGACATGAGTTCTCAAAATACTAGGTAAAAACAGACCACACCTCTTATTATGATTGTGAAATGATATAGAACACCTGAACCAAAGTGAAAATACTATAAGTTTCTAGAGATTTTAAAAAGTCAGGGAAAAAAAAATCCAAGAGCCAGAATCTTCAGACTTCTCAACAACAACATGAGAAGCAAGATGATCATGTAACAATGTCTAAAATTTCTTTTTTTTTTTTTTTTATTATTAGTTAAGGTATTACAAATGTGTCCTTATCCCCCCCCCCCCCCTTACCCCTCC